TAATATTACTTTTGTAATAGACTTTTATTAAAATTGGCACATTTTCGCAAGTCCCATTAACAGGCTACTTTACTCCAGAGTGAAGTCATTGCTTCTGTTGAAGATGAAGGATGTAGGCTTGCAAATCTAGGAATGAGGGGTCTCGTGGTAAGGCATGTCACTTATCTCCCAGTAAAGTCACTAGTTACATAAGTCTTAGGCAAGACTTACCATCACTAGGATTCATTTTCCTCATCTGCAGATGGGGAAGAATCATTGCCCAATAGAATTTATTCTGGGGTTAGCAATCAAGGACTTGGCCCCTCAGTGCCTGGTATATGCTGTGCATGAAGACTCAATACCAGACTCAGCACCTGTGGCTCAAGCGGCTAAGGCACCAGCCACATACACCTAAGGTGGTGGGTTTGAATCCAGCCTGGGCCCGCCAAACAACAATGATGGCTGCAGCCAAAAAATAGCCAGCTGTTGTGGCAGGCACCTGTAGTCCCAGCTACTTGGGAGGCGGAGGCAGGAGACTCGCTTGAGCCCAGGAGTTGGAGGTCGCTGTGAGCTGTGATGCCATGGCACTCTACCCAGGGGGACAGCTTGAGGCTCTGTCTCAAAAAAAAAAAAAAAAAGAAAGACTCAATACTAGTCTTATCACCCCAGCACTGGATCTTTCTCCTTATTGTGTCCATATTGCTGTTACCCATTTGCTCCAGGGCAAGAAGGATACAACTGAAGGGTGACTGCAGTTAAAGGCAGAATAAATAACATCAAATAGTGAAGCTGTTGAAGTGAAGATATTACATAACCAGTTCCCCTCCCCCATTCCTTTTAAGTTCCTTGGTATTTTTAAAAAAAGAAAATTTCTTTTCTTAGAGCATTTTTAAGTTCAAAGCAATATCGAGCAGAAGGTACAGATTTCTCCTGTCCCCCAGGCTCCCACACATGCACAGCCACCCCCATTAGAGGGGTGTGTTTGTTACAGTTGACGAACCTGTTGCAACACATCACCACCCAGAGTCTGCACTTTACATCAGGGTTCACTCCTGGAGTTGTTTAGGTTCCTTTGTTTATTTATTTATTTATGTTTTTGAGACAGAGTTTCACTTTGTCACCCTTGGTAGAGTGCCCCTAGGTTCATAGCTCACAGCAACCTCAAACTCTTGGGTTCAAGTGATCCCCTTGCCTCAGCCTCCCAAGTAGCTGGGACTATAGGCAGTGGCCACCATGCCTGGCTATTTAGAGATGGGGGTCTTGCTCTGGCTCAGGTTGGTCTCCAACTCCTGAGCTCAGGTGGACCACCTACTTCGGCCACCCAGAGTCCTAGGATTACAGGAGTGAGCCACTGCACCGGCTCTTTATAGGTTCCTTAATGGAAGAGGACATTTGTACAAAATCACATTTCACTCCCAGTAGCAAATTTTTAGATGTTATCTTTTTTTCCTGATCTATTATACATAATCACTAGTGATAACCATAAAAATACTGAAAAGGAAAATGGAAAAACCAAGAACACATTGCAGAGGAAACCTCTGACAACAGCGTGGTATACGTGAGCATTGCCAACCTTGTGAAACTGCCCTCCTTGAAATCCCTCAGTGTCTCCTTGTGGAAGCCCTCCTGCTCCTCTCAGGCCCTTGGCACTCCCCAGCCCCACCAGGGTCTTCCTTCAGGCCAGCAAGCTCCTCCCAAACTCCTCCTCTGCAGAAGAGCAATGCCTGTCTCCTGATTAATCCTTGCTCTTCCTTCAGATGGCAACTCAGTCCTCACGCATTTACAGAAGGCTCCTCTGATCCCCCTGCTTGGCCCCCTAGCACCCACTCAAACATAAATACTTTGACCCTGTTCTACCCTCTCACTGCACCCTGAATTTTCCCCTCATAGCATTTAGCTAAGGATGCAGGCATATGCCCTCTTTGTTCAATGTCTACCTCCCATGCAGGTACAGGCTCCAGGCAAGAGGGGGACCCTGTGCCTTTTTTGCTCCCTACCTTATCCAGAGCACCTGGTACCATGACTGACATGCAGTAAATGGACTAATACATACAGATTTGTCTTAGGTATCTTAGCAGCTTTAAAAATCTTTAGCCATATTTCTGATTATTTTTTGAGAGTAAGTTTCTAGATACATTGTATGCATTTGCTAGAGCTCCCCTATCAAAACATCAGTCTGTAGACTATGTGGTTTAAACAACAGGAATTTATTTTTTTACAGTTCTGGAAGCTAGAAAACCAAGTCCAAGATTTCTTCTGAGGCATTTGTCTTTTGGTTGTAGATGGTTACCTTCTCACCGTGTCCCCGCATGGTCTTTCGTCTATGAGCAAACACACCTGGTGTCACTCACTCTGTGTGTCCAAATTCCCTCTTCTTATAAGACACCATTCAAATTGGATTGGGGCTCACCCTAATGACCTCATTTTAAGCTAATCACCCTTTCAAAGGCCCTATTACAAAATGCAATAACATTCCAAGCTGCTAGGGGTTAGGGCTTCAACATTTGAATTTGGGGAAGTGCACGATCAGCCCATAACAATGTGCAATGGCTGGATCTAAGGAAGGGGATATTTTAAGCTCTTTGACACATATTGCCAAAGGCTTACTAGGGAGGCTGTACACATTTGTAATCGCACCAGTAAGGGATGAGAGTTCTTATCTCTCTGTACTCTTGCCAGTGTTGGTAGCACTAAAAATACATACCTTTTTTGCTAACTTGAAAGGTAAAATCTTATGTTGTTTCATTTTACGTAATTTTTACTAATGCAAATAAACATTTCTGAGCATTTGATATTCCCTTTTCTTTCTTCATTATTCTGTGCATTCATTCCTTTGGTATATATTGAATGAACTTATACCATGAACAAGGCAAGCTGCTTGGTACTAGCAGAGATTAAAACATAGTGATACCGGACTTTCAGGTTCTCAGTCTCGATTGAAGAATACATCTGTACACTATAGATCAGTGGCAAGACAGAATTTATTTACAGAAAAGAATACAAAAACACTAAAGTTCCTGGAAGGGAGAGAAAACCCTAGTCGGGATAGAAAAGCTCTCTCCATTTTTCTCTCTCCGTCTCTCTCCATTTAGCAGTATTTATAGGTGCATGAGTTCCTTCTATAGGAGGCCAGGAAACGAACCGACACAGTCCCTTCCACTGGAGCAAGGTGAATGAATGTACTAATGAATGGACACAGTCTCTTCTGCTGGGGCAAGGTGAATGAATGTACTAATGAATGGACATAGTTCCTTCTGCTGGGGCAGGGTGAATGAATGTACTAAAGAATGGACACAGTCTCTTCTGCTGGGGCAGGGTGAATGAATGTACTAATGAATGGCTATAGTTCATTCACAAAACTGAGGCCTAGGAAACTTACATGAAATTGACCTAGGCATAGGAAAAGGGCGTTCCATATTTAGTCAGATGTGTAAACAGGAAGGAGACATCAAGGTGCCGTGTTTCCCCAGCAGTTGTCGGGTCTCTTTGGCTACTGGAGCCTCCGGTAGGGGAGGGAGCTCCTCTCCCCTTGCCTACACTCTAGCCTGCTGGTTCCTCTGCCGGCTGACTGCCGCTGTACCTACACCGCTAAGGCGAAGCGGCGGGTCCTCTAGCCCAGCTCGGCTGAGCTGGCTGGGGCACCACCTGTCCTGTATCAATAGCCCTTGACGTGATGGAGCATACAGTCTAATGGAGAAGAGAGACACTGAATAAACATACCCAAATTATTGATCATAGTTGTGATAAAGGAAAGGTAGAGAAAGAAGACTAGAACTTTGGAGGACTCCAACAGTTATGAGCTGATAGAAGGAAAAAGTAAACAAAAAATATCTAAATCACAAATGGCAGAAAAGATCAAAGAGAAAGCAAGAGGTGGCAGTGGTAGAAGGAAAAGAGTCTCCCGGGAAGGTCCTGTGGGCAATCCAGTTGGATGCTGCTGAATGACTAAGATAAAGACCAAAAAGTGCACACAATTTGGCAACATGGATACCGATACCCTGAATATAATTAGTTATGGTGCAAAAGCCAGATTGGAGTGGGTTGAGAGTGAGAGAAATTGAGAGAGCAAGTGTCATAATTCTTTCAGGAAGTTTGGCTTCTCTAGACTGTCTGTCCTTTGCTCATTTTCCAACTGAGATTTTACCATTGATGTCATTGTATTATGGCCTCTTTGTATGCATGTGTGAGATGGTACTTACTGACTTTCAGGACGTTTATTAAAGATTAATAATATGTAACAACTTTTTTAGTTTTTTGAATCTATGATTTAGTATTGTTTGTTACTTTGCATACACATTAGCTTTATTATTTATTTATTTATTTATTTGAGACAGAGCCTCAAGCTGTCCCCCTGGGTAGAGTGCTCTGGCATCATAGCTCACAGCAACCTCCAACTCCTGGGCTCAAGCAAATCTCCTGCCTCAGCCTCCCAAGTAGCTGGGACCACAGGTGCCCGCCACAACACCCGGCTGTTTTTTGGTTGCAGCCATCATTGTTGTTTGGCGGGTCCAGGCTGGATTCGAACCTGCCACCTTAGGTGTATGTGGCTGGCACCTTAGCCACTTGAGCCACAGGCGCCAAGCCATTAGCTTTATTTTTATATAATTTATTTTTTCCTTATGGCTTCTTTTCCTTATGACTCTTTTGCTTAAAGATTCCTTCTCTTTTATATATAGAGGTTACATATTCACCTTGATATTATTCCTTAGGCATTTATGGCTTCATTAAATGATTCTAAAACATCCTTTTGGAATTTATTTTTATATATAGATTCAAGGCTTGGAGGGCTTCATGTTTGTGTCCTAATGGTGAAGCAGTAAGCAACAAAGTATTTTGGGGCCATTGTACTTAAACTTTTAGCCAACTGACTCTGCTGCCTCTTCATAGGAGAAAGATCTTACTAAGCAAGAAAATAACATTTCAGCTCAGCATGGTATCTGTTTAGTTTGTAGCCATTCTGCTTCTATGCTAACATTGTATAATCTCTTTATATTGTAAAATTGTTCATTCTGTATTCCCAGTTTCCTGTGCTTTCCAGAATCACCTCATCTGATCACCATCATAGAAGGCATTCTCATGAGGACCAGGAATTCCGATGCCATACCCACACACAGGATTACAGAAAATACTCAGGCGATGAGTCATGCAAGGAGCCAATGGTATCAAAACGAAGATCCAATTCCAAAATTGAGGAATTTTCAGATTCCTTTGAACAGCAGCTGTGCTTTAGAACCAAACGTTCTGCCTCTTTGGTATGTAACAGAACTATTGAATATTCAAGCCACTTTAGGAGAGGAAACCCAGAAAGTTTGTCCTCCTCTAGTTTGAGGGGAACAAATCTATCTCTTCTTTCATTTACAGCTTAGTGAAGAGGTCTGTGAAAAATGACTGTTAAAGATAGGCCAGATGAACAAAAAAAATTTTTTTTTATTTTTGCTTTCAATTTCAGCTGGCTTTCACTCATCTTAGTTTGAAGTTTTCTTTTTTAATTTTTTTCTTTTTTTCTTTACTGATTCTCTTGCCCTTTGCCTCCCAAGTAGTTGGGATTACAGGCACCCGCCACAATGC